CACGCCCGGCATTACAAGCTTCTTTCTAAGCATTGCCCGCTACACCTCATCGCACGCTGTCCGAGGTATAGAACCCAAAGTTTCCAGGTAGCGCTAATAGGGTATAGAATATTAGAGCAAGTATCCGAGGTTTGGGTAACGTTTTTTCCCTTCTTGTTTGCCAGACGGTTGGAAGTTCCGTTCCACCACGCTGGGTTAGAATAGCATCGGCATGCTCCAACAAAAGCATTTTGTATCCCATCAGTCAACGCAGGCCTGCTCTATCTAGCAGTAAAACCTCACTTCATATCCCCAATTTCTGTCCACCAAGTCGTCCTCATCCGCATCAAGTTCCCAAGCGACGATCAAGCCTCTCGCTTGGAGTGCCCGCGCAAAAGAGTAGAAGCGTTGCAGAGCGACTCTCGAGAATGTGCCTGTTCGAAGAGCAAATTGCAGATATGACGGCTGATGTCGAAGGAACGAGAGGACTGCGTTGTGGTGTGGCGCAAATTCCGAGGGGGATGGAGGTAGTAGGAACTCGCTGTTGGTGAAGAAGGCGTACAGCAGGCGAGAGCGAATGTCGCGGTTGACCAGGAGAAGCGAGGGTGCGGGGTGATCGAAGTCCTTTTGAAACTCGACGGTGACGGTCTTGGTAGTGCGAGTCCAGGTGAAGGTCTCTTCGTAGATGTGGTCGGACAGCTCTTGCGGTAGCGATTGCACGAGCTCGCGCAGCGTTCGCCCAGCCATTCTGTGGTGCCAATGCGGATGGGATGTTTTGGTGATGTCGCAGGGCAAGATTCAGAAGTTGTGAGGAATTGCATCAATAAGTCTTGGCAACGGCCCGCCGGCTCTGTCAACTTTCACATGCGAATTTATTGGCAAGTGCTGAGAAAGAACGTCAAGAATTCGGAATTTTTGCGCGCCAAACTCATTCTCCCCATCCCTCGCCTGAGACAGTTATGTAAATGTCCTGATGTGGAAACTTTAGAAATTAAAAGTCACGGGAAGGGTTGAAGGTGAGCAACAAGTTACAACTCACTTTGCTTTTTTTTTTCTTTTCAGAACGATCCACAAACTTGCAGTTCTCTCATCATCCCGATCTGAATCGAGAGCGGTCCAAGCGGGGAAAAAAAAAGACCATTCCGTAAGTCTTGGTTCTTCACAGTAGTTTCTAAGAAATCGGGGTTCGTGCCATTTTGCTTCTCCAGCCGCATGCATAACAATGACTCTTTCGAAAGTTAGCAGACTGTCGAAATACAAATTTAAGTCTAAATCTTATACCTTGCTATAAGCATCACTTTCATCTACCACTCCTATATATCGAATTCCAATCTGCGTATATTATGTGTTTATTTGCTGCGAAGGATGCGGTCGACTTCACTTGGAACACGCATGTGATCAATTCCGGATGCCGCCTTCCGCGACTTTTCGCGTCACGACACAACGCTGGGGTTCGGCTTGGACAGACTGTCTCTCTATAGCCCAGAGGCTCACTTTGCCCTGTTCCAGATGAAGCGCGTGCACGATATCGAGGCTAAAAAGCCTTCTTCCATCGAAGAGCATATGGACACCGAGCGCGCTGCCGCGGCGCTAAACAACATCGGCGTCCAAAGCCTGAGTGACCTGGCGTCTTCAATGAGCGAGGTTATTAGGCTCGAGGAGCACCTCTACACACCACACCCCACACTAGAAAGCGCAGTCGTACGAAGGAGCATCACTTTCAGTGAACAGTGGGAAGCTACGATCGCGAACCTGCGAGATGATGCATTGCGAAAGCAGGGTATCGACAGACTGAACACAATATATCCCAACCTTCCGTCAGTGTCTGTGAATGCCGCAGGTCCGTCGCTCGTTACCACCGCGCTTTTCCGAGCTGTAACCTATGGACCGGACGACAGTGACGGCCTAAGCATCCCATACCAAACCGGACTCGCGACGTTCCAGAACCGCCTAGACAGTCGCGTACGTCTTGCCCGCCCGCTTGCGCGTTGGCCTCGCTCTAGCCCTCACGGCGTTTTTGCAGCACTAACGCAGATGCCGTGGAAGGGGGCGTAAGTGCAATTTCTTAGTAGAACAATACTCTTCATACCTGCTAACCGTGATCTAGAGTCATGCAAATCCACCCTGACCTTCTCCAATTTCTCCTTACGGATACTGCCACAAAGACTCCTCTACTCGGATTCGCAGCAAAGGCGCCAAAACAAAACGTTTGGGTACCCGATCTCACGACATCGATGGACCTGTGATCCTCAAAGTGGCCGAGTGCTTCTCGAACGAAGAGATCCATGATTGTATCAACCGTCTACGAGTTGGCGTGTCTACATCGACGACTTAGCGGCGCCCACGAGGGTGGACGATGTCATCGTCGAGGTGAAGACAACTATCCCGATGTTATGACTATTATTATATCGTCTAGGAATGGCTCGGACTCTGCCAATCTCCAATATGGCGTCTACATCCAGGTCGTTGCGGATTAGGTGCGTGGGAGGATACACTCAAAAGAACCAGATGATCAGTCGCTCCGTCCGCTTGGAGATACATATAGAGATCGAGCGAGCGCCTTTGACACAAATGCTTTCACGTGTCGAGGTGATGGAGCCCAGATATCGAGATCGAATGGATCGAGAGGAGACGTGCCCTTCGCTATCACACAAATTAGCCATGACCTTTTTTTTTTCAAAAAAAATTGATACCGACCGACCTGGCCTGACCTCACATTTCCTTTCCTTTTCCCTTCCAAGAACCACAACTTCCTCCACAATTCGTTCATGATTATTTATCCCCCCCCCCTTACAAAAAAGCCTTATTATCATCACATGCGCCCTGCGCCGAAATGCACATACATACTATCAAGGTACCTACCCACACACACACACACACACGCCTCAACACCTACAAAACCCCAAATCCCTACCAAAGCGGCGAAATCACCAACCAACTCAAACTAACCGCCAGCAAAGCAAAAGTAACAATCAGCGCAAAAAACACATCGGCATTGAAACACGACCGATCTCGTTGATGTCGATCCCAAAGTTCCGCCGCAGTGGTTTCGCCTCGATTGATAGTGCCGTATTCAGGCGGAGGGGGACCGGATTCTAGATCGCCGTTGTGGTCGCCGTGTTCGTGGTGATATTTGCCGGACGGCTGCTGCTGGTCGGTTTGGAGGGGGAGGAATTCGGCGGCGTCGGGGTTTGTGGAGGTGGGATTTTGGGAGCTTGTGTTGGCGGTTGGAGCTTGGTCGGCCATTGTTTTGAAGATTTGGGGATGGGTGGTTTGGTGGGTGTGGAGTGGAGGTGGTAGAGAAGTGGGCTTACGAGGAGGTGAGGTGAGGTGCGGTGTGATGAGCCGTAGCTTTGGAAGGATGCAGGCAAGCTTAATGTACCAGGTCTGCTTGGAAAGTTTAATGTTCGAACACTGTGATTCGATCTGGGCAGTGATATGCGTAAGACTTGCAGCTGGCATTATTATTGGCACTGTTCCTTGCAGTCAACTAATACACTGTCAAATACAAGATGAATTACTCTACAAGCCCTCCTTGCAATGACAGAAGCCTCCCTCCTCTTTGAACAACATCAGCGACTCTGCAATGGACCATCCTGCGACACCTTTGCGACGCTAGCACTTACGATTTCAAGCTCATCGTGGAATGTGCTTCAGGCTCGCATTCGCAACGTCGGAGAGAAGTCGTGGATCAATTGGTATCGGGGCCGCCCCACCAGCTATTACGCTCTCAGCACTTTGTTACGACCAAGTCAACGAGTAATTGATCAGGCAGCTTCACTCTTACGCTTCTTCTTCTTTTCCTTCTTCTCGACACCAGGCGTGGCGGATGGTTGAGATGACTCGAGTTGAAGCTGTGCAGAGGCCGGATCGACGTCCGACTTTCTGTTCTTCTTCTTCTTTTTCTTCTCGGTGGAAGGTGTCTCCTCGCCGGCCGGAGCTTTGCGCTTCTTGGACGAGACTCTCTCTGGAGCAGACATGGGTGCAGGTGGAGGTGGCACGGCAGTGACTGGAGTTGCTGCTACCTCGCTCTTGCGCGACTTCTTCTTCTTCGGAGCCTCTGGTGGTGGAGGGGGAGGCTTGACCGGGACCTCCTCCTCACTGTCCGTCTCTTCCTCGTCACTGCTGCTGTCGTCGCTGCTTGAGGACTCATCAGCTGCAGCGGTAATTTTCGCAGGAGTCTCTTTCTCGTCGTCTTGATCGTCCTCCTCTTCATCCTCGTCGCCAGGAGTCTTGGGCACGTCGTCAACCTTACCGCCAGCAGCCTTGTACTCCTTCACAGCGGCCTCATATGCGGCAAGCTCTGACTGGTACGCTTGATGGTATGGCTTTCTCTTCGCATCGCCGAGAGCCTTCCAGCGTTCAGTCGCAATCTTGGAAATGTCGCCAGCCTTGATGCCGTCGCTGGGAGGGTTGTTCTGCACCTCAGCAGCGATGAGAGGTCGAACCTCTTTCAGGTAGCGGAAGTATGCGGTGAGCGGCCGCTTTGGCGCATTGGGGTCGCGTTGCTTGTAAGGACGCTTCTGCCTCTTCTTGGGGTCGCCATTGGCAAGCACTTCCGCGGTGCCAGTATTCACTGCGTGAAGCCCGTTCGCAATGTTGAACTCGGCAGTCTGCGCGGCGCCTACAGCACCAGTAAATGGGTTGAGAAGGTGTGAGATGTCGAGTGTGCCTTCACCTTGCAAGATCACATCCGTGTGGTCGATGTAGGCCTTGACTGCCTTGTCGACAGCATTGCTCAGGCCGATGTACGCGCTTGTGAGCTGTGCTGGTTGTTAGCGATCGTTGGCGACACGCGCGGTAATCGTACTGCATGCGACGCGTTTACTGAACAGACCGGCGCATCGACGAGACAAATGCGACGATGCCTCCAACATGTATCCAGTTCCGGTGCGGCCCAAGTCATTCGCGCACCACACAAGCGCACGGGAATTGTCGCCTCGCGATGTCTCAGGCTGAAGCGCGTCGCAAGGAAGGCGCAGATTGTTTGACGACGCGGTCGGTCTTGACTGAACGCCTCGGAGCATAAAATATACGAGCTGTATCAACTTACTGCATTACGCGTTTGTGTGAAGCGTTCGCGATCGATAGTCACGGTAATGCGATCGCCCATTGCCGCCTGCAGCTGGGCCTGGAGGTCTGGCACGGTGTTCTTGTTCGCCCAGTCGATCAGTTCTTGTGGCGTTTGCAGCGTTTGCAGCCTCGGGTCGAGATGTGCTGGATTCATGGTGGCAACTGTTGATATTGCTTATGACCGAGTGACAATTGATGGACGCCCGAGCGCGACGGGCTTCAGTTGGAGGTTGAAAATTTGAGGAGGGAAATTGGAGGACGGGAATTGCCGCTACCAGGCTTCTTCCAATTCTGCTTTGCTCTTGCTCCTGCCTCAATTCAAATCACGCAAACATCTTCATCCACCTCCAACAGCGTCGTCGATACATCACATGAACCGAACTGACACATTCCATTGATCGAAGTACGAGTCTTTGCCTCGTCAAGCCAGAGATGTATCTGGAGATGCTCTTCATCGTGTGATACGACTTCTTATAACCTCCCTAAAGCTTACCAGCCTCCTAATCAATGATATACCTGGTCGCTCATCAAAGCCCTGCAAAGAACGATATACTTGACAGTCGTCCAGATAGACGATTAGCATCCCAGCGAAAATCCGCCAAACACCTGTACACAGCGGCAATGAGTTTGAGTAGACACCAATATCAGTCTTGAAATACAGGTCACGCAATGTCTAGGAGATCGATATCAATTTCGCCGCAGTCAAGAAATACACAATTAGAAGAAGGTGAAATGAGCAGACTATAACAACTTCACTCGACCGAACTCCAGGCGCGAGAACTTGAACACGAAGTGAAGTTATGCCAGCGATCATCCACGTTCATCAACCAAGGCCGTGCGCGCGGCTACTACAGACGACTGCTCTCCACGCCTGTGCAGAACACGCCGCGTGCTTCGTATGCGACCACGATTGATAGGCCGCTGGACTCCTCGCTCACTCGTTCCTCGTTGGCCGAAGTGCTACAATACGATCTTAGATGCCACGGCTAGTAAGAATTCTCAAGGTTCGGTGCGCGATAGGGTATAGAGGAGCTGCTGGTTTCATGGCAATTCGCTTCAAGCGAGCAAGTCCAAGTCGACCGACTTGAGCAAGCATTTGCGCATGTCGATAGCGACCGGTATTGAAGCCTGTGAGAGAGCTATTCGGCTTGTGCGAGACCGACCGACCATACAGTTTGTGCTTCACGCACAACCCAAACTTCAGAACATAGCCGTAAAAATTAGGCAATATGCATTCAAATCCCACGACTGTCACAACGGTATGGTATCTCAGGTATCCTTTCCAACGCCTTACACCCCCGATGCTCTTTCCGAAACATGCACAAACCGTTTCCCATCCTATTTATACTGCGGCTGTCCTGCACCTGCTCCACCACTCATATTTGCATTTGCCTGCCCTGCGTACGGGTTCCCGCTATTCCAACCTTGTGGAGGACCGTTTTGCATGGGGATTTGCTGTTGTCCTGCTTGACCTGGGTTGTTCATTTGTTGTTGTACGTCGGGGCGGTATTTGAGGTCTTGTTGGAAGTGGCAGATGTGGCAGTTCACGCAATGCCAGGGTTTGAGGGAGAAGGGGATGATGGGGACGAAACAGAACGTGAACCATTCCCTGTAGTTTCTATCGTTAGCATCTGGTTGTGATGAATGTTTTTCAAGCTGGGGAGGGTGGGTGGAATCGAAACTCGTCTAGGCTAGATCCTAGATATCGCTCGTTGCACCTTGATGGTTATGTATGCTTCGCGCGGCTCGAGATCAAGCTTACCATCTCTTAGACACTTTCCCACTCCAGTTACCACAGTTCTGGCATTGTACTGTGATGTTCTCATATCCGGCGAGTAAGGACTGGAAAGCTGCACAAGGCTGTCAGCATACCACTGCTATGCGCTATGCGCCGGATCTTGTGGCGTCGTACTATGAGTTCCGCATGTGAAGATGAAGGCCATTTTTGACTTGTGATGATTTCGAGGTTTGCGGTCGCTACGCTGTGGATGTAATCGAGGTTGTAAGGAGCGTGTGTGGTGACTGTGAGGTGTCTTGCGACAAAGTGTAGTAGATTGCGCGGCGCGAGCTTGGAAGTTGCTGGGCCGTGTGGCGCAGAGTGAGGCCGGGGTGCGGAGGCCTGTTTGGATGGATGCTAAGCCCACAACATCACGTCTTTTTTTCTCACCAACCTTCCCTTGCTTCTGCGATGAGTTCGTTCGAGCTCACAGGAAGAAGGCGTCCAGATTACTACGGGAGAGGCAGGACCTGGCATGTTACTAACAAGTGTGGACAGATCGGATGGCGGTAGAATATACGGCTTGGCATCAATCCAGGTCTCATCGATCAAGTCATTGGATTTGGACCGCCGCTTTCCTCTGCTAGATCACTTTCACAACTAACGCGAGCTGTGCATCGTTTGGGGATGCTTTATAAAGTCGAGAAGATGCATTTGAACTGCTGCGTCAACCTGCTGCTACCTCCAAGTCCCGGCTAAGACTACCGATTAAGTTCGCGCCTTCTCGTCCTCCTTTGACCCGGTCTCGCCCAGCCACTTCTTGACTCTGCTGTCGTTGATATCGTAGCGCACATCTTCCCTGACAATCTTGTACTGTACATAGAACGATACCATACACCAGATCAAGCACAAATTTCTCACATCGTACGAATTTCGGGATCGGAAAGTCTCCAATCCGAGAAGTCAGGCATTCGCAAGCCAAGATGGGAGCTTTCTCCAAATTCATGGGTAAGACTTAATCCTCGCTCGAGCAAATCCAGTTCAGACTCCGATCTAATGGGGATCAGACAAAATCCTCACATCAAAATACAACAAACCCTTCCCAGTAACCCTACTCCCTTCAGCCATCGGGTACTATCTAGGCGTCAAGCAGGGAGAAAGGCAAGCGCAGATTCTAAATGAAATCCAAGCATTGGATACAAGAGATCATAAGAAAGTGCAGTACATAGCTGAGCACCCAAGATAGAGAGGTATATCGCCAATAGCGGGACAGCGATGCAAGAATTTGCCAGGTCATATACGTTCTTGGAGTGTCGCAATTCATCCAATCAGATGAAAAGTTGGCACTTTGGGTTAGTCCAAATCAAGCATCGAACGAGCCTTGAATCCAGTCAACTAATCAAGGTTAATAGCGGAGTGGTTAACGCGTCAGCCTGCTAAGCTGATTCCTTCGGGAGCGTGTGTTCGAATCACACAGGTGTCGGGAAAGCTATGAGTATAGCCTTCTATTTTTTTAAAACAAACTTGTGCTAGTAGCGGGCATTGTCTTACATTTTTGTCCAGTTCGCTATAGAATATACAGCAGACAAGTCTCATTCGTACTTAAAGACATTATTCTTCTAATAATATGTCTATTGCGGTTTCAGCATGCGTTCCAGACACAGTCGCGCACTGTCTGTGTCCCTCTGCAGCACGTAGACGATTGTTTTTGCTATACTCTTAGACCGCGCTCGCGGCGAGTTGACGCAGAGCAACTTCTTTTTCTTCCTCTTGCAACTCTTGAATTACAACTCGACAATCGGCAATTCCCTCTTGTTGTGCCGTTGCTGCCTAATCGATATGCCCTTTCTCTGTTAGCTTTCTTCTCTTCCTTCTACTAGGCGGATCAGCAGAGGCCCAGGTTCCAAGCGCGACTCCAACAGCACTTGCTTTATTAGGCTCCGCTCGCGGCAGAACTGCTTTGAGCGTAGCTGCCGCCACCGACTGCACTATGTTGTTCTCCGTACGGTAAAGCTGCAGCTTTACCACTCTCTCGTAAACCGCTGCAAGGTTCGGGAGTCGATACTGCTACATCAATGTGTCCCTTACCCTTCGCTATTCCTAATCCCTTCCCTTATCGAGCGAGCTGCGATCCCATAGCCAATTTGCATATCCCACCTTCCTAGCGTCACCCGGGTCAACGTGCAAGATTTGCAGAGCTTCAGACATGCGGCAGAGGAAGTATGCCTACTCGGTCGCGAAGAGAATGAGCGATTCGTGTTGCGTAATATAAACAGGAACTCTCTGGAACTGTACAGACTTAGCGATGTCTATTCCAGGCATCGCCCCGAGCCTAGGCCCGATTGGCATCCTCTCGCCACATCATAATATCTTCTTTGTAGACCGGATTCTATGCACTCAGCTCTTCCTTCTCAAGGATGACGATGGGTTCTAGTTCTGGTTCTGATCGACGAGCTCTTTCACCGGCTAGTACGTCGTCTTTAGAATCTAGCATGGGCGTAGGCGAGAATATCGTTGACAAAGATCTCGACCAGATGACAATCGTCGTTGGTTCTGCGGCTATATCGACAACAGAGAGTGATCTCGCTGCATTGCGGGCTATACTCTCCCTCCTCACGATCCCATCCAAAACCGCAGGGGAGCTAAAAGCCCTCTTTCGAAAACGGGAGCTTGCTTTCGTGCCAAAGCGACGCTTAACACTCCAAGTCAAGAGTTTCCTCCTCGTCAACAAAAACATCTGATTTTGAAACGGATGCTTCCATTTCCCCAGCTGAATTCTGTTTTCCACTAGGTCGGTAGCGAAGATCGCTGCAGTATAGATTCCGAGGGTGGAAAGTAGAGCGAAGGAGAAAGGAACTTCGAGTCGAATTGGTGACATTTTATCTCGAGTTTCTGGCGGGGATTTGGAAAATATGAGTGTGGTTAGGATGCCGAAGAGGAGGATGAGGATTTGGATTGTTTCGATGGCGAAGGCGTGGGCTTGAACAAGCATTTTCCGAGTGTGGGTGTCGAAATTGAGGGTTTTGCTGAGGCGATAGGCGTAGCTGAGTAGTGCTGAGATGGATACGAGGAGGGTTGGGAGGATGGCCATAATGAGCATGATTGTTGTCGAAAAGATGGGTGAACGCAGAATCGGTGAAGGGTTCTTGGGTTTTGGGAAGTAGATGTAGGCGTTTGCTGGCTGGTCGATGCGGTGTACATGTACTGTCCGTCGTGAAGTGAGACAAGCATATCCGATGTCTCATTCTCTTCTCAACCGTAAAAAGCCGCGTTGTTCACTATAATTGATCGATCGTAAGTAGCAAAAGATGAATCGCTTAGGCTAGGCTTACCGAGACATGCATCTCGCAGCGTTCACACCGTGGACTCGGAATGAAAGCTGAGTATCGTCCAGTTGTCTTGCGCCAGCACCGATTTGAACCAGCTCATATGGACCGAAGGACCAATTCTGAAGTCATATCGAACAGCCCTTCACCCCGGATCATCAAGAGGGGAAGTCTGAAGTCTGAACGCGGCGCCCAAAGTGCGATTGCAAAAAGATATTATTGAATCACTGGAGATGACGAGAATCGAACCCGCATCCCTCGACACCGACGTCGGGTTTTGCCCGACGACATCCGTAATGTACGTCATGCGCAATGATGATGAAATCCTGGACTGGTCGAGGATCTTAGCATTAGACCACATCCCCTAGATGTATCTGATTGGTGGCTGCAATGAAATGGAAGACTTCTGTACCTTCAGTTGGCTTGTGAAAGTGAAGCTGGACTCCATTTGAGGTACGTACTGTACAGTTCCTTTTGATCTACTCCAAGAATCACTAGCCCAGAGACTATGACAATCATCACCGCTATGCTTCAGAACAGTCTTTGAGTCGAGAATACATTACGTTACTATCTGCGCTTGTTGCCGAACTTTTGCTTAGGTTGGCTTCCATATGATCGTCTCGCGCTGTCGGGCTTCTTCATGCTCGCGCCAAGATTGATGTCGACTTTTGGTGGGACTGGGAATCCGAAGCTCTTGGCGACCTTTTTGAGGTCAAGCTGCTGGATGTTGAAGACGGAGCGAAGGGAGTGCGATGCGTAGGCTTGGAGGTATGAGCGGAAGCCATCCTTGGCAGACTGATACATTGTTAGCAATGTGCTCATAAAATGATCATTGTTGGAACATACCTTGTTGAGATAGTAATTCTTCCCGATCAGCATCTCAAGCTGACTCTGAATGTCGAGAATCTTCTTCGACGGAATCTCAAACTCAACAAGTGGTACTTTGGCCTCCTTCAAATGACTGAGGAAGCCGACTTCATTTGGCTGCAAAAACATCAAACTCTTGCCCTTTCCATTCGCACCTCTAGCTGTACGACCGACACGATGGATGTAGTCTCGAGGATCATCTGGTGGGTCGAACTGTACGATCCAGTCCACAGCGGGAATATCGAGACCTCTCGCCGCGACATCTGTACAGATGAGGGTACCGTTCTTGGCATTGCAGAACTCGAAAAAAGTGTTCGTGCGTTTCTGTTGCTTCTGCTTGCCGTGGAGGTCAAGCACAGGCAGGTCAATGTAGTTGAGCAGTTCTGAGTAGTACTTGACACAATTGCAACTGCTGAAGAAGACAATGATCTTTTTCGAAGCGTGTCGTTTAAGGAAGGTGAAGAGTAGCCGGAATCGCATGTCAGCCTCGCAAATTGTGTAGCCTTGCTCAAGGCCGGCGACCGTGCTGTGCTCCTGCCGACTGTCCACGTTGATGTATAGCGGACCCGCTCGGAGCGATATTCTGGCAAGATCTTCGACTTTGGTGGTTTGTGTGGCGGAGAAAAGCATCGTTTGGCGGTCTTCCTTTGGCAGAATCTTCACGATCTGGCGCATTTCGTCTTCAAATCCAACTTCAAGAATTCGATCAGCCTCGTCAATTACAAGGGCTTTGACGTTCTTGAATACGAATCCTTGCGTGTTCTGTAGATGGTCAAGCAGACGTCCGGGCGTAGCGATGAGCAGATTCACGCCCTTGGAGAGCTTTTCAGCTTCAGCTCGTCGATTTGCGCCTCCAATGACGATGCCGAAAGTCTGAGAATGGTGTTCCATGAGCTCGCGCGCCACGCCAAAGATTTGCAGCGCCAATTCTCGAGTAGGCGAAACGACAATGACACCAGTACCATTTCGAGGCTTGAATCTTAGCGAGTGCAGCATCTCCACAGCAGGGATGAGAAACGCCAGTGTCTTTCCAGATCCAGTCTTTGCAGCACCAAGGACATCTCTACCGGCAAGTAAAGGAGGTATACCCCGCTGCTGGATCTCGGTCATGGTGTCGAAGGGCATGTCTTTGATCGCTCGCATAGTCTTCTCGGATAGATTCAGCTCGGAGAACTTCTGGGGTGTTGTTGCGGTCATGGGAAGAGAGACGCCAAGCGCAGATGGCAGATCAGAAGGTTGGCCCAAATCTCCATCGCTCGTAGGTTGCTCTGGCTCACCATCGACCTCCTCATCCTCTCCAGAAGACTCATTTTGGTCACTATCCTCTTCAGCAGCGCCATTTGCACTATCTTGAACGGCATCCTCCTCTTCGCTGCCAGACTTGATTTCCGAATCGTCCTTCTCTGGATCGTTTTGCTCATCCTCCTCATCGAAGCTCGCGAAGTCATCATCGGCCTCTGTCGCAGCTTCTTTCAATTCCTTGGTAACCTGCTCTTCTGCCTCTTTTTCTACCTGGTGCGTTTCTTTGACGATCTTTGGCTCCTTCACAGGCTCCACCCCCTCCTCTTGCTCCTTCTGCCTTCGCTTTTCTTCTTTTCGCTCTTTCCTTGATTTCTTCTTAGCTGGCTGCTCCTCTGGCGCATCATCCTCATCATCCTGCTGCGCCAGTTTTGATTTTGCCTTCTTCTCCTCGTGCTTCACGCCACTGGTCGTACTCTCCTCGTGTTTGCGCTTCGTATGCTCTTTCTTGGTCTTCTTTCTCGCAGCAACTTCCTCCTCCATCGGATCGTCCTCTTCCATAACGGGGGACGATAAAGCTCCAGACATGAGCGCTGGGTCGTAGGGCTTTCCGTACTTTCGCTTGCGTTTTCCTATCGCGTCGCGTATGAAGTCGTCATCTGTCGACATGCTTTGGGAAGTGCGACGAGCTTGGCCGTGCGGAAGTCTGAAGTTTGCGAATGTCGAATATTTTCTTGAGGCAAAAAGTTCGAGACGGCGATAGACTTTCTCGGTCCGAGCAAGCGAAAGGCTTGGCACTGGCTGAATGCCAGAACTACACCTCAGGCAGACATACAATCCTGTTCTGTGGTGGTACTCGTCGAACATGAAGCATTGCCTGGCGTATGGCCGACTTGATCTGCCTGCTGGTCTACTGCTGAGCTGACATACACGCGGAGAGAGAGGGACTGCCTCAGAACCGGCTAGAATACTTCCCAGGTATCAATCATGGCAGCAATATAACCCGCTTGACGAGATAAGGCTGCCAAGTCGTCAGGCTTTGCGTTCTGCACCCAGCAGCGAGATGCATTCATCTCTCGTGACTGGCCCAGACCTACTCACCGGTACAGAGGACGTCTTCTGCCATCCACCTCATTGTACGATTGTACTCGAACGCCAGCAGCGACCTTGCATCACATGGACTATTGTTACGGACATAGCTCTTTGACGTCAACAGCGAACGAGCTTACCACAATGTGTGTGGAGATTACGTCTTCACAACAAAAGAACTTCTCTTTGTGCCATCAACCGACAAAACCTATCTTTAGCAATTTGTCTTCCGCTCATATACTGCGAGCTGCCCCGATTCGCCCCCCTTTCCCTCTTCTCATCACACTACACCAACACAAACTCGTCAAGTTTTCCTCATTTCATTTGTTCTTCCTTTTCGGGTATCTGCTGGTCAGTACCATCGCTCTTAGTCAAGCACACATTTAAGAACATTAATCCAACGAGAGAAACAAGTTCAAAGACACCTCACACAATGGGTGGTTACAAGAAGCCAGATTTCGTTCCAAACACCAAGTTCATGTCGAAGGACAAGTCTTCGGACTTCGACAAACTCTGCAAAGACTGCAAGTTCTGGGTGAAGGATGAGAGACACAAGAACGAAGGCAAGAAGAACAAGTTTTGTCCAGCCAACTCCTCGTTCAAGCTTTGCACCAAGTGCAAAATGAGTGGGCACAAGACCGAAGAGTGTGGAAAGAACGGCAACGACAAGAAGAATAGCAACAACGATCGTGACAACAAGAAGAACCAGAACTCCAACTCGGACTCTAACAATAACACTTGGGCCAGTGACGGCCGAGTCCCATTTGCCACCAACAATGGCAACAATAGCAAGAATGACAGGGTTGACAAGAACCTCCGCGGTCTCGTCGCGATCCAGTCCTCCACACACTACCCTGTAGATCTGTCAAAGGGTGAGACATCCAAAATCGCCGAGAAAGCCTACTGTGCCTACTGCAACGAACAAGGGCACTGGACGCACAAGTGTGAGGATTATCACAGCATCGCTCGTCACAATCGAAGCGCACTAGCCTGTACAGCCTGTCACTCACGAGGCCATACCATCGATGAGTGTCAATGCCCAATCTCAGAGCCTTGCGCCAAGTGTGCTAAGAGAGGCCACGCCACTTCCGAATGTCGATCCAACAAGGAAGCTAGCGTGTACGACCAGTACTTCAACAAGACTGGTTGGGCTAAGCGCGACCCTCACGGCAGCCGCTTCCAGTGGTCATCTGACGGCATCATCCTACACGAGGCTCAGCTCAAGCGCCAACAATACCTCCTTGACCAAGCCGAGTTCCTCGCTCAAGACAAGACTTTCTCCCCCGAGTACAAACGTGCAAGACAGAAATCCATTGAAGATGCCGAGCGCGGGATTTTCGACAAGAAACTCCAAGTCGTCGACAGCATGAGTGACATCGAATACTCCACCCCCAGACGTACATCAAACGTCCGAGCCAGACTCAACACCAACTACATTCCGAGTAATCCAACTCCAACCTACCCCCGCAGCACTATCAACACTACTACCATCAACAACCAATACGCCTCCGACCTCTCCCTCATCCGCCAAATGGCCTCCAAAGGCGCCTCCCGCACAACCTGCCACCAATACGAAGCAGCCCTACACTCCCTCCGGACCTCCCAAATCTCCAGCGTGGAACACTCGGTGCGCAAAAAATGCCTCTACTCGCGAAAACTCAGCCCCCTCCAAAACATGAACTACAAAATTCTCCAAAACGAAACCTCCATCCTCGAAAACTCCATTCTGTCTCTCGCGCGCATGAACGAAGTCAAAATGGCTTTGTACCAAGGCGTCCAAATCTACCGGGACCCGAAAGCCATGGAAGCATTGTTCGCGCGCCAGGTGCCGAGGTGTGGACATTGTGGGACGGAAGGGATATTTGTGGATCGACATTTTGTGAATATTCCGTGGCAGTCGAAGACGAGTGAGTTGCTGCTTTTAGAGGAGATTGCGGAGTGGGGGGTGTTTGTGGTGTTTGATTGTGTGGGGAGGTGTAGTGTGGGAGGGTTTGGGTATGAGAGGAGGTTTGTGAGTGATGAGGTTTGTTTTGATGAGGGTGATTTGGAGTTGAGGGCTTGGGAGGTTTAGATGTAATGCATGAGGTGGGATTGTTCTATGGTAAGTATATGGCTGTGCTTGGCGAGCATATGCGAGATGGATGGGTAGGTTTTTATGAATGTCACGGCAGCGGAAAGTTTTGGGAGCATTACGTATCGAAAAATTTAATCAAGAGCACGCCTCTGGAAGGCGCTCACATCCCCATACTGGCGCATTTCCTTGCCTCGCCCTTCCCAAACCTCATCTCGCAATGTGACATGTTTGGTCTGAGGAATTCATCTCCACAAATAGCGACCTGGCGTTAGGCAGCCTTGTCTAGAAAGTCTCATTCATGCAAGCTAATTGAACATTCGGTGACCTTAGTCTGTAACATGCATTTCTTTGTTCCCATCCATACCAGTCATCGCCACCGGCTTTGAACTCTGCCGCCCGCCCATTGTCCTTTCGTGGATCTTGCCTCCAAACACCCAAACGCCGGTCACCTCGCTTGAAGAACAAATCATTCCACGCCCTGGTTGCGCAGACTCTATCTCTTGCGACCCTTGCTCTTCCCCTTTGACGCTCCTCCAGACGCAGTCGTATCGACACTAGCAGCACGAGATGTGCCATTAGGAGTTCCCTTGACACCATTGACGGCCTTGTTCTGTACGAACGCATTAGCAATCAATTCATCATGATCTCTTTCGACATGCAGGCTCACCTTCAAACCACTCCCAGAAGGTCTACCCTTCTTCTTGACGGGCTCTTCTTCTTCCTCATCGTCGTCATCAGCTGCACGCTTGTTCTCCTTGCCATTCGTGCCCTCCATCTCTCGCGTGACAGTGGTGATGAGCGTGGCGCAACGTCTGCTGATCTCTTGTGGCGTCCGCGATAAGAAGAACCAGTCAAAGCGGAAAAGTGGGCTCTCACGGATCTCGTCACGAATCTTCTCGTAGACGCCCTCCGTATCAATGCCATATCTGTTAAGCATGACAAGGAGGAACCGATCTTCTTCCTCGGTATACACCTTCTTGTTTGTGGTGCTGACGGTGTAGTTGAGCTTCAGCTGTTGCAGCGGTACGCGATACATTGCCAGCTTCTTCTTGAGCATCTCGCGTTGTTCGATTACACGAGCAGCGCGCTGCTCACCTTCCTTGATGGCAGAAATGTGCTTCTCCCAGTTGTGGATCTCCTTGTAGCGCTTCCAGAAGACCTTGGCATATTCCTTGACCTCCTTCGGGTTCTTGCTATCAACCTCGAGTGCAATGGCTTCGTAGTCGTTGCGTCCATACTTGGCGCTACCGTTGATGAATTGCTGGAAGTCACGCTTGTTCCATTCGCCAAAGCCTTCGGTCGCAAGCTGCTCCTTCTCAGCAATCTCTTCCTCGGTGAGAGGTTCTGCATTGTCGATGTTCTGCTGCTCCAATTCTTGGTCTTGAAGGCGTTGATCGAGGGTCTCTTCATCGCCATCAGCCAACGGAGCTTTGAGATTGTTCTCTTTGCGGAAGTAGGCAGTCTCCTTCTCCTGGAGGTCGCCCAACCGAGAAGAGAAGAATTGGTAGTCATGCATAGACATCTGCTTTGGCGCGCGTGGAACCTTTGGCTTCGGATCTGGCTTCGGTCCACCTGTAGCAAGAGCTGTGCGGTAGTACTTGTCCATCGAGTAAGACTGCTCTTTACGCTCACGCTTCGAAGGATTGATCCAGTTGAGGCCAATCTCCTTCTTGCGATTGATGAAGCTCTCGCCGTTCCATTCGTATGTTCCAGCCTCGGAGCTGAACTTCTGAAGGTCGTCAAGACCAAGCTTCTCGTACTTGGCATTCATCTCTTTGGTCTTTTCTTCTCCAGCGGCCAGAATCGCATCAAGATCGTCGTCGCCGCCCTTTCCGAATGCGCCGTAGCCATCCTTGCTCTCGAAGATCGTCTCCGCACCGTGCTGGATCATGCCTAGAAGTTCGTCTTTCGAGGCGGCCTGCTTGGCTTGTTGTTGTGCACGTCCTTGCTGGATGACGAGTTGATCGAGACGCAACTTCTGTGCAGCACGCTCCAAGACCTTTTCTTCGATGGCCTTCTCGGTGATGAAGCGGAACACGTGCACTTGCTTGGTTTGACCGATGCGATGAGCACGATCCATGGCCTGCAGATCTGCCTGTGGGTTCCAATCCGAATCAAACAGAACGACAATGTCTGCAGTTGTCAAATTGATGCCCAGGCCACCCGCACGAGTAGTCAGCAGGAAGAGGAATTTCTCGGAGCCCTCCTTGTTGTAATCGTCGATCGCCGCAATGCGGTCCTCGTGGGCAGTAGAGCCATCGATACGGCAATATTTATAGCCGCGCATGACGGAGTAGTCCTCCAAAATGTCAAGAACACGAGACATTTGAGAAAAGATCAGCACTCGGCTACCTTGCGCTTGCATGCGGTTCAGAAGCTTGTCCAGCATAACCATCTTGGCCGAGTTGAAGACCAGATGCTCGTCGGTCGTGTATGGAGGACCTGGCTCAGCACCGTCGAAGAGGTATGGGTGATTGCAGCACTTTCGAAGCTGCATCACAATATTGAGGAGACGCGTCTTGCTCTCCTTGTTGCCCGCTGCTCCATTGACAGCATCAATATCCTTCTCCAAGATGCTTTTGTACCACTTGATCTGCATTTCGCTCATGCCAACGTACAGATTCATCTCTTTCTTTGGTAGCAAGCTTTTTTCAACATCGCTCTTTACACGTCGCAGGAGGAAAGGTCTGAGGACACGATGTAGCTGTTGTACGACGGTGTCTTGGTCGGCGTCTTGATTGTTGAACCACGAGTCGAAAGCCTCCGAGTCACCGAAGACGTCCGGGAGTAAGAAGTTCAAAAGCGCCCATAGCTCATGCAGGTTGTTCTGAAGGGGTGTTCCGGTGATCAGCAACCGGTTTCGCGAATTGAAGATACGGATGATCTGTGCCAAGGAGGACTCTTCGTTCTTGATACGGTGAGCTTCATCAATAATGATGTACTCCCAAGCGAACTTCTTCAAATGGCTTTTCTCGCGCAGGATCATCTCGTAAGACGTGATGCAGACGTCGAACTTCTCATCCACCAGGCGGTCGTTAATGAGCTCGTGACGCTCTTCCTTGGCACCTTGCAGTACAAGAACATTGATCTCTGGAATCCACTTGGCAAACTCGCGCTTCCAGTTGTCGAGCGTCGATTTGGGCACTGCGACCAGATGAGGACCAGTGATGCCTTGCCAGAATCTCAGGTAGCCTATGAACGAGATGGTCTGGAGAGTCTTGCCAAGACCCATCTCGTCTGCAAGGATACCAGAGATACCGTTTTCGTGTAAGCTGATCAGCCAATTGAGACCAGCGACCTGGTAATCTCTCATCTCGCCACCTTGGATGTAGCTCGGACTCTCGCGGAAGATGGTGTGTTCAACCTTGCCCTCCTGCTTTCCTTGGCGCAAAAGTTCAGCGTCTTCTTCTTTCTCGGTCCGCCGCCGCCGATCGCCGGACGCGCCTCCCTTGCGCTTGTTTCCTGCCGCGGCCTTGTCTTTCTCTTCTTGATCCTGACGATCAATCTCGGTCATGATGTCGCGAATCTTGGGGTCGGGGTTCGTGTCGATGAAATGTCGGAACAAGTCTGTCAAGCCTAGCAGATATCGAAATCGACGGACGGAGTCGTCTTCCTTGTTCTCTCCCAGTCGGTCATGCTTCTTGCCAAGCATGCTCTTGCGAAGGCTGTTGCCCTCCCATCGCTTCTTGCGGCCATCTGTCTGGACATCTCCGGCGACGCTGTTAGCTGTGCCTGTCGGATTGGACTCGGAGTCTGTGTAGTCGGGAGTGTCGAGCATCATTGCGTCGGGCAAGCTGCCGTCGCCCACGCCCAGGGCTCCTCCGTTACTCATAGTGGCGAGGAGTGTGGGTGTATGCGCGGACTGCTGTTGTGTGTAGTGCGCCTGGTGCGCCTACTCAGGCTGTGATGCCGTGAAGCTGGACCAGAAGCACGTCTGTTGCGCGTGTTTATTGCCTCTGCACGTACTTTCAGAATGTATTCGCGCGCGCGTGATAGTTGCAGGCGCGATGGTGATGGATTGGGGTGTCTGTCGCGTGTCCAGAGTGTAGTGCAGGAGAGGAAGGGAGTTGTGGGGGAGTTTGGGTAAAAGGTAGAGGAGGTGATCCTTGCGGCTCAGGAAAGCTTCGAAGTTCGAAGTGTGTGACGGCGCGCGTTTGAATCCATGCACGCTGGAGCGGCCCGACCCGCAGCCACAACAACCGCCTCGACTCGATATGAAATTGCATTTTATCAACACATTTTCTCACTTGCGCCATTCTCCCGTTGAGAGTACAGGCTGTAGCAGCAAGCCTCAACCGTTATATTTATTTATCGTCGACTAGCTAGCTAAGCTCTATCTTACTTGGGCTACATCAGCGCTACACAATGTGCATTCTCACAGTCTGCATATGGTCATGGAGGAATTGACATGCAGATTCTCAAAGATACAATGCTCGTCAATGTGAGACTCCTGCCATTGCATAGTCTTCTGGGCCGACAGAAGAGACCGAAGAGTCACCGTTGAATCCACAAAACAGTCTCATAGTTTTCGCTTCGTCCGAATCTCCATCAGACCACGAGACATATCTGAAGCCCGCAGAGCCCAAGGCAATATTCCAAAAACTCTCATCGCCCAGGATATGTGTCCGACTATCCCTAAAGAGCCACCAAGCGTCTAATAAACCGAAGACGAGGTCCATCCAAGGAAGAGCGCGGGTGATTTCAGCGAGGCACAAAATACCATCGGGCCGGAGAAGGGACTTTATGTGACCGGCGGAGACACTTGCATTGCTAGTTGCATGAACACAGCCTGCAGCAACAGCAATATGAAATTGCCCTTGCAACTCTTCTAGCGGAGCACGTTCGCAGTCGAAACGGCAAACTTCATCTATGGATATGCTCCAAACTTTTTCTTAGCCTGTTGCACCAGAGCTAGAGATATATCTGTAAAGGTGTACTCGAAGTCTATAGGGCTGAAGGACATGTCTATACGCAGGATGGCCAGAGTCACGCAGAAATGAAAGGCCATGTCCCAGTCCCAGCCATGCTCGCGTACATCGCAGCGGGCTCCGACAGAAATGCACGTAAGTTCACGACGTGGTACAATGCTGAAGAAAGATGCCGAAGCCCGCGTCGTGCGTGCTTGTGAAGATATGTGCAGGCTGTTGAAGCGCGCCAATGAGATTCACACAATTCTAACCTGATATGCCTGCTCAAATGATGATGGGTCGACGAGAATTGACACACTTGACTTCCAATAAACTAAGAACGCTTCCTTCAGGTCTTTTGATGGATGCAATCACCAAGTCTGGATCCACGCTGGTGAATAACTGTTGGCACTGCGTCCTACTCCGCTCTTTCCCATTCAAGACATGCTTCATAAGCATGTCCAGGCTGCGAATCGTTTTGTCCAAGCTCTGCGGCAGCTCACCAGGCTCCGGTAGAACCATTTCCATCACCAGCATTTTGGCGCCGGCCTTGAGAGCCGGCAAATGATTTTTGATGATCTTGACCGCGAACTGATCCAGCCAATCGTGCAGGATTCTGCGGAGCAGGTAGACTTCGCAATACGCGATTTCTTCCGGCAGCGGGCCGAAAAAATCAAATGTCACAAACTGGAGGCCTGGCGGCGTAGAGGGGCAAGTCTGTGTCTTTGCGATGTCAATAGTGGCCGGTCGATCTGCAACGTTGACATCCAAGCCACTGTGGCCAACTGCCAATGCGAGTCCCAGGTCGCCAGTTCCTCCTCCGACATCCACAACGTCCTTGACGCTTTGCCACTCATACCCATCTACGACATGGCGCAAGGCGTAGACGGGCTGCTGGTTATCGTACTCCATCATGTCCGTGAAATTGCGCGCCCACTCGTTGTAGTTCGGTCGTGCAGAATGCTAAAACACGTGTGCTTCGGTATCGAAGGCGAAGTTCCACGGACTATGGGTGGCCTCCTGGCTGCCTGGCCACTTCTCTTCCGCCTCGATCAGCTTCGAGCCAGCACTCGCAAGATCTCCGGCGTTCATTTTGATCAGCGCTTTCAGGCCCACTCCGGTGACCAGTGCTGCGGAATACACCGTGTGTGAGACGTGTCCCGGAACAGGTTCATTGAAGATCAGGTCGTGCATGGAGAAGCGTATGACGCGTTCGAGGAACGACTGATCCACATCGCATGTTTTTGCAATCTCCGCGTACGGCGTGCCGTGGTGGAGATCCACGGCCTCTGGGATGCGATGGTGCAGAATCCAGCGCAAGGCTGAGACGTTCAATGACTATCGGGATCAGATCAGTCGTGTCATTGCATGCGGACTTTTGTATATCAGACTAACCCTCCACGCCAGGTCGTGAAGGTGGTTATCAGGGCCTGCGGCAATCCGGCTCAAAACCAGCGCCGTTTCTGACAGGCGCCCTCGAGCATCGTGAACTCGCTGTGGCATATGCTCAGGCCAGCCCACGAGTGAAGATGGCGTGGGAAGGTAGGATGCATCGAGCCATTTGGTTACAATGTCTGTCTGCTGGCGCAGAGCGTCGAGTAACTCGCGAAAGTCGTGGGTGTTTGGCATCCTGTCAAACTGGTGAATGGGAGCATCGATCCGGCTCACGTGTGCTTCCATGACTTATAAGTGTTGAGAGAGGCATTCTATTGCCAGATAGTGGCTTGTTGTTGTTGTTTGTCAAACTGGTGAATGGGAGCATCGATCCGGCTCACGTGTGCTTCCATGACTTAGAAGTGTTGAGAGAGGCATTCTATTGCCAGATAGTGGCTTGTTGTTGTTGTTCTCTCCCAAGTTTCGGGGAGTTCGGGAAGTGTGCTTGGCGACAGAAAGCAAAGCCTCGTTCGAGGACATATTTCGAGGACATATCCATCTTACAATTCAAATTCCACCCAAAAAGATGGCTGGCCATCCTGCACCTCGGAAGCCGAGAGAATATCAGCCTCCAAAGGTGGAGCTCCGTCGGATCAGGTCCAGCAGTTCATATTCTATACGCTGTTACGCAGATGGCGCTCTCGGTCCTCGAAGGGTAGAACTGCATCAAAGCTTCTTCCAGAGACCTGCGTTCCCCTCATCTGGCATATATGGGTCGCAGCAACCCGTAATCATACACCATTGTCTCCGTCCAGCACTCCTTAGATGCTCAATAGTTCTACAAGCAAGCCTGCAGTCAACCGTCTCATCAGCACTGCAATAGCGATTCGAGCCCATGCATCCAAAATCTGCAGATGGAGTAGCACCCCAACTCCAGCCAAACATGCATGAGTCCAACAGAGCTCATATCTACTTCTTCTCAGGCGAGATCCCACAAGGAGATCCTGAGGGTGGGTGATCAGGCTGAGCTTTTCGGAAGATTCAAAGCCCTGAGCCTCGCATCCGATCAAAGCCATCTGGTCAGATTCCTCAGACAAGCGACCTCTGCCGTCAGGTATGAGATAGCACAACTTCCAAAGCACATGCAGGAACTGGTACCTTGGGTAGGAAGTATCCTTGACTGGACACAACATGTCGTTGCCTTGCGGAAGACGATCCTCGGGGGCAGCATCGACCGAGTACTTGTCTGTGTCTATCAGGCATGTCTGGTATTAGCGTTTGTATCCGACCGCTCGGGAATCTTCGTGTTAGCTGACAATGGGGTTACAGGCACGAGAGATCAAGGCCTGAGCACTGGCAAACTTGTATTCTCGGAAAGGGTAATGGTCTCCTTGTAGCGGCAAGCATGGCCTTATCCTCCAACCCCGATAAGCTTGCAGACATTGTAAGTCCTGTGTTTGTGGACGCGGGTCGGGAAGCCTAGCGCCGCTGTTGAAGTCTGCATAGGCTGTTAGTCTAGCGAGCTGTGCCAAGTCGACAGGATTGAGGCCCAGATTGAAACGAGAGAAAAATTTCCGCAGCGTTGGTGCATTGTTTAAAAAGTAGACGCCGACTTCCACGGAGATCGCGGTGCTAGGAACGAGATATGAGGCGACATTCCCTCCAAGAACAGCTTCTTTCTCGACTATTACTACACTCTTGCCCTTGTCTCTTAGTCCGACGGCAGCATAGGTGCCCGAAGGTCCTCCGCCGAGGATTGCTACATCTCTGGTGATAACTTCGGAACTTGTGGGTATGGCGGCCACCCAAGGTAGAACTCCGCATGCGAGAAAGCTCAATAGTCTCATTATGCCGAGGAAATAGATGCGTGTATGAGACTTCTCTAATCATAGCTGAAAAGGGCAACCTCTCTTATACTGCTTCTCATCCATCGAGCTGAGTCCTAGATCTGCCCGTATCTCATGCTGGCTCATATCATAGCTCATTTCATGCCGGAAATGGCTGTCAACCCCGAATGACCTTAGAGGCAATTCCTGAAAGGCGCTCAGATACAGTGGGGCCTGTTCTTAAGCTCGTCGCCATCATGGCAGAGGTGTGCGCACTATTCATAGTACGAGGCTTGCGCGGACTTCTTCGCTCGCCGAGGACCGTATGCGAGTGTATTGCAAGTACGCGACCTTTAGAAGCCAAGAGCTGAAAGAATGTCCTTGGCGAGTGCCCATCCCACGGTACACTTCGGACTTTTGACGTAGAGAGTCTGAATCTGTGAGTGCCTGAAGCTACTTCACATATTGGCTTCATGTTGAGTGTTTGAGCCAAATCGAAATGAGGCGGAGCAGATCGACAATCTCTAGTATTCTACCCCACGATAGCCGCTAATCTTATCGAATATTGTAGATTTTCCCGTTCGATGTGAAGAACCTATTAGTACGGGATTTTTTCCGGATTCAGAGAGCTAGAGGGATAGGACATTGGTAGTCTAAAGCAGCCCTGCCTGAAGTAGGAAAGAGTAAGTCCAGCATCCTCGACATTTAGGAGCAAACACAGTACCTGCGGTTCTCCATCAAGAGGTGGCATTTATCGATGCAAGGAAGGACCAAATGGCCAGCTAGAAATTTGGTGTGTCCGTAGTCGAGTGCATTCTTTACAACGAGTTACAGCCAAGCCAGGTAGTCACACCGGGTATGACTTGCAAAGCACTTTGCGATTACAGAGACCGCAATCAACATTCCTCGAGGATCTGACATGGCACACTTTATGTACGTTTGAAGCACACTGCGCCAGACGTGATGTGCCCAGTAGTGTTTCAGGCCAATCTGATCGATGGAACGAGCTATCGATGTGTGTTTCCAACTGAAATGTTCGCCGTCCCGTTCGAGATATTTGCCGCCAATGATTTCCTCCGGATTCGTAGCGATGTTGCCAGCATTTGTTAGTGAGCTGTTATACAAAGTAACACAACAATCACGCCTAGTGAGCGCTGCCGATAATAAAGAGTAGTAAGAGAATGCCTCGTCCGGCACGAGCGGGAAAAACAGCACAAGATTCGGTTCGACAGTATAGACTTTCAGATCATGCTCAGGTTGGCGTGGCCATTTCTTCATTCGAATGGACGTAGCCTATACTGCGCATTATCTTGCCATAGTACTGGGTTGGTTGCTGCTTGGTGTGTGGTGTGTTTACGATGACGAGTGGGAGATGTTCGGGACGCTGCCGGCGACGCCGGCCGAATCGGAGCCGAGGACAGCAAGGTGTTTCTAACGAAGATGTGACCTGAATGGACAACAGTGTTCATAACACGCTCGAAGAAAAGACTTGATTCTGAACTGGGCCATCATACATTGGCATTATGAGCCATTGCCACAGGAGGATACTAATGTACAACAAAAACGATACAGAGTAAAGTGAACAATAAGAGACTCCGAAACACCTCGCTCTCTCGCTAGCAAGTTCCAAGATAGATCGAGACGCGCGATATGGTCAGCGTACATCGCAGCAAAGTCCGGAAAGCAATCAGCAAGACATGGTTGTAAATCGTGAGGAAGAAGTGGGGAGACGTCGAGATCAAGCTTTGTCAGGATCGTTGATGCCGCCGGTAGTAATGACATAGGTCGCTTCAGCTTCGGGACAGTCTGAGAAGAAATTGGTGTCAGCAAGGTCAACAAGAGATGTGCGAATCGAAGTGATGCACTCACCGGGAGAGTCCATGATCTTGGCCACACGCTCCTCACCGCGGCCTTTGCGAAGGAGAACACGAGTCGCCGAAGCGTGAGCCAGAACGTGGCCACCGACAGGCTTGCGGCCATCGGCACCAGCGAATAGAGCACTCGCACCAGGATCGGATTGGACTTGATTGGTCATGAAGACGGTGATGTTGAACTCTTCTGCGAACTCTGCCAGCTTGCGCAGGTGAATGCCAAGCTTCTGCTGTCGCTCGTTCAGCTCACCACGTCCTTGGTAGTCGCTACGGAAAAGGTTGAGGATGCTGTCGACGATGAGGAGGCGATATTCTCCCGTGGCAAAGCTCTCGGCAAGTTGCAGGAGAGTCTCGTGCTGATGTTCGCTGTTGAGGGCACGAATGTAAAGGATGTTCTCGTTGACAGTTTCGGGGTCCACTTCAGAGATGTCAGCTTGCCCACGGCCATCATGGGAATCAGACTCACTCTGATAATACTCGGCCACTTGTGCGACACGCTCTGGACGGAAGGTGCCTTCGGTATTAATGACAGCCACCTTGCCCTCGGCGCCTCCGTCGGCCTTTGGTCTCTGGGGAACGTCAGAGGAATCAAGCTGTGGGAGGAGAAGAAAAAGAACACTCACCTGTGCAATGACACACATGGTGTGGCAGAGCTGAGTCTTGCCGCAACGATACTCGCCATAGACTTCGTTGACACTGCGAGATTCAAAGCCTCCGCCGAGGATGGTATCCCACTGCTTGCTGCCGGTCTGGATACGGAAACAGCCTTTGCGTCGCATGAGCAGCTCTTGAGCCGTCATCATGCCAGTGAAGCCATGTGGCTGTGGCGATGTCAGCAGCATCGCACTGGGACACTTGCGAAGACCTTACCTGGCATTTTCTCGCGGCTTCTTTGACCTTTTCAACCTTCTGCTCGGAGTAGCCTTTGATGGTCTTCAGCACCTTGCTGTGGGCGTTCATCACTTGCTGAAATTCGGATTAGAGACCGTGGTCTCACAGTCTTGGAGGCGAAGCACTTACTCCGATGGTGTAGTACGAGCTCAGCTTGAGCTTGCTGACGTCGGATGCATTGATTCCTATAGTGTGTGAGCATTTGTTGCAGCCGGCTCGCATGTCACTGGCAACACTCACCATGATTCGTGAGCTGATCAACATCGACGATGAAGTGCAGGACTGGCTGATAATCCTCCTCCTCTTGCTCGCTGGTGGTCACTGAGGCTGGCATGTTGAGAACGAGAGCGAGAGAAGAGAGAATGCCGCCGACACGAAAAAGAGTGTATACGAAATGGCAATGGATACATGTAACGAAAGAAGAAAACAGCCAGGCAGAAATGACTTGGTGGTCCCCATTTCGAGTTGTGGCAGTCGCGCAGTTGCTTCCTTCCTCTGGTATGGCGCGGACGAGGAAGGAAGCCACAATGCCAGACGTGATGCGACGCGACGCGCCGAGGGCAGACAGCGTGAGACTCACCACAGACGCACTACTCACAGTCCAATTAACAATGCTTTTGCTCGTTACATCTTTCATGGATTACAAGACGGCTCGAGTTGACGCATCGGTCACAGGAAGTGATAAAGTCGAGATCACACACATACACATACGGTTGCGTCTTTGCCGCCCTCTCTGCCCCATCGCACTTCGACCACCACACTCTCTTCGCTGCATCCGCATCCCCCTCTCCCCCCATAGCTCAATCTTGACTACCTTCGTCCTTGTCTTCCCACCTGCACGCGACTAACTGCGTTTCGAAATCGAAAACACCTAAAAAGGCGCGTGTCACAGGTTTCCGCTCATTGTTCGTCGGCTTCGCTGGATTGTCCCGCTCAGCTTGGGTATAAGGTATATGCTGGGTCGTGATGGTCGTAAAGGAAACTTTTGATATGGTGTCGTCGGGTCGTGAGGTCGTAAGAACGCTCGATCATTGCTTGTTGCTAGGAGACTGAAACAGATTGGCCAGAAATTCAAAGTAGGATTGCGAGACTCCGTGGCCAGCTGGAGCTCGCGTATAGGGTCGTTAGGGATTTAAGCAGCGACGGGCGCTGGTGCAACTGGAGCCACCGGGGCCTCAGCGGCTGCAGGAACAGAATCGTTGCCGTTCATGACAGGAGCGCCATTGGTCTCGGCCGCTGCTTGGGCGCAGTCGCGAGAAATGTGGCCAGTCTCGCCGCAGCGGTAGCACGTCTTGCCAGCGCTATTCAATGAGCCACCATTTGGCGAGGTGCAGTCGCGGGAAATGTGCCCAAGTTTGCCACAAGCATAGCATTTCATGGCTTGAGCCTGGCAGTCACGGGCAAAATGGTTTGGTCCACCGCATTTGTAGCAAGTGGCAGCGCGGTTGTTGCCAGCGAAGCCACCACGAAAGCCGCCTCCATATCCACCGCGAGCTGGTCCGCCAGCACCACGGCCGGCTCCAGTTGGGGAAGCATTTGGTGTTGGGCAATTGCGCTGTGGAAGATTAGTCCGAAAGCTTGGCAATATGTGATTCGCCAAGACGTACTGCGAGATGGCCTGCTTGACCACATGAGTAGCATCGTCCACCACCTTGGGCACCACCACTCAAGCGGAGTGTTGGACAGTCAGCCTGGACATGTCCAAGACCTTGACAGTGATAGCATTGCTTTGCTGGATCCATCTTTAGCATCTTTTCTTCGACCTCGACGAAGCGAATTAGATGGTATGCGACTCACTCTCGGTCGTTCGTGGGTGAGGGCAGTTATTGCTCTCATGACCTGTGGCAAACAGCGGTCAACATGCTGCCCGTAGCCGTGTCTAGGCTGTTGTTCATGTCCTTACCCGGTTGCTTGCAGTTGTAGCACAAGCGCTCACTGCTAGAGCAGACCTCGGCATAATGCCCAACGTTACCGCACTTGTAGCATGCGCGGCGCGAAAGAGATGACATCCTGCCTCAACTTCTCCTTCGAAATGACTGTAAAGCCCTGTTATCAGAGATGCGTTCTGTATAGGGTTGCGCAACGCGGTCGTCGCGTGTGTCGTCGCAAGCCTGTCTCGGTCGTACAATGCCTCCGCATACAAAACTCTTCACCGAGAGCTCACAGCTCTCAAGGACCGGATCGCAAGTGACGGTATAGTGTCGCTGTAATCGGGAAGAAATATCGCATACCTCGTAGTACCAATGCCCTGCCTATAGAACCATCAGCACACGTCCTCAATGTTGTTTCCATTCTCCAATGCCGGCTACGCGCCGCGACAAGCTCTCCCCTCCATTGACCCTTGTCTCTGCTGGCGGCTGGGGTGGTTGTTGCATACCTGCTGCTGTCCTGCTAGTCCTGCTCCCTTCTCCTGCTGCTCTCTCCGTCCACGCACCACCAAAGTTGGCGAAACGAAAAGCAAAAGAACGTGAAAATGTGTTGGGAATAGAGTTGTGGACAACAAAGAAAGTACTGCCTCACAGAGTTGGTGGGGGATCTCGTGCAGAGGAATTCCTGCCGAAGGAGGGTCCAGGGAAGGAGTGAATCGTAATCGGCGAATCAGATCTGTGCTTGCAACGCTATTACCAGCGCTTAACTTTAAGCGTTCACGTTGTTCCTAGCGCGTGCTGCATTGCCGAGGACGATGGCGGAGCGTGGGTGGAGGAGGGTTTTGTGTAAACAGCTTCGACCAAAGATTTTGAAGGAAACGAAGCACAACAACAAGCGCTGCATCCGGATCAGCGCAAGCTTATCGCCTACTATTGCTTGGAGCGAGCACGCTGCTCATATGATACCGAGAAAGTTTCATTGCCAGCAATTTCATCATGTATTCGTTCTATCATCATTTTGGGTGCTTCCGACAAGATGACAAGCCTGTGTCAACATCCCTCTGCCTTTCACCAACGCCGAAAATTGAAATGTGCCACTGTAAACACAAACCAGCCGAGTTCAAGTAGCATCCTGCATGCTGCTTCTGCGAAGTAGCCGATGTACGATCAGAACTACGGCCAAGACCACACTGGCCAGAAGCCCGACCATTGTCCCCCTGGGGCCTGTTGAGCAGCAGTTTTGTGTTCGAGCTTCAGGACGGCTTCCCTCGTCTCATGAGAAGGTGTGTTCTACTCCTCCTTCTCAATGACCGCAGGGGCCTTGATCTCACGACCCTGCAAGAAAGCCAGACCTTCACCCTGATAGGAGATCAATGGGCTGACCTCTACGCCATCGTCGGGCTTCTCGCTGACAACTGTTGCTCCAGCAGCTTCCAGGAATCGCTTGCCTTGGAGCATGATGTCTTTCCGTGAGGTCTCCGGATCATCTTCTCCTGTACCCTTGGCATTCTTCAATGGCGAAAACTCGTCCTCACGCTTAACCTCCATGCATGCGAACTTGGTCATCTCCAGGAATGGAAAGCAATCAAAGACGAACTGCTCAAGCTTGATACCGTTCGGCTTATCTGGCTTGATCGCGTTGCCCTTCTCGTCAACGCAAGGAATCTTCTTCTTGGCAATGTGGTGGGGCAACTTGTGCGACCACTGCGGTATCGAGTCGAGGAACTCAAAGCTGTAGTAGTGATTGACGATGTTTGCAGCACGGAACTTGAGCAGCTCGTTGTCCTTTGGGTCTTTGGCCTCAGCCGTCTCGGCATCAATCTCGGAGTACTCTACGACATCCGGCTTGCCATTCTTTTGCAGAATGAGACCCACGCTCTCCTTCGCATTGCGCTTGCGCACGACTTTGGTAGCAATTGAGACGTGCTTCTCTGCACTGAAGCCAATGAATGTTGGATCTGCTACGCGGACCAAGCAGTTGTCAACGCAGTAAGCGTGGATGTGCTTGACGCCGCGCTTGCCCATATCTTCAACGATGCCTGTGCCAATGAGTGCACCGTACAGCCCACCATTGCCGTCTGGTGCTACTGCAATCTTGCTCTTGCTCTCAAGCAGGATCTTTCCCTCCATGCTAACGCAGGGAAGAACGCCTTGCTCGAAGAAGATGACGTTGTTGCGATTTAGGCCGAAGTACTTCTTCTCTTCAAAAAATTCTTGCGTTGGCTTGCGTGTAGGACCAGAGGTCATGATGTACCATGGGATGACAACATCATCCTTCTTGTGCTCCTTGCTCGCCAGATGTTGCAGCTTCCAGATACGCTCTGCTTGGAGCTGGAATAAGGACTTGTGGCTTGGAAGGTCGATGTCATAGCAGCCTTTTGGTGCTGAACTGCCCAAACGTGTTCCTTGGCCACCTGCCATGAGCACTACACCAACCTTGCCCTCAGCGATGAGGCTCAAGCCTGATTCGTACCATTTCTTCAGATCCTCCTCTTTGGCGTCGATTGTGGATGTAGTAGCTGAGTCGGGAAGTGGTTCGAGCTTGGGCTTATCGTTCTCGCTGTCGGGCTTCACTGGGTGTAAGGTCTTGTTTGAAACTTTGTTGATGTGCTCTGGGTCGAGAGTGGATGCTTGTTGGTAGAGCTGGCCTTGCTCGTTAGACTTGAGCTCTTCCCAGAAGGCAAAGACGTGGCCCTGATTCGCTTTTTCGTATTTCTGCTTGATCTCCATGAATTCAGCCTCTGACGGGGGATTAAATTGTGGCTCTGCAGGTCCACCGCCAATGTGCAAAGCCGACATGGCTTTGTTGATGGTGTCCTTGACTGCTTCCATCTTGGCGGTGTTCTGTTGTAGCAGTGGGAGAAGGAGTGGTGTGGACTTGTTGGTGTGTGTGAGTAGATGACGGAGGCAGTGTTTGTTATGTGAAGTAGTTCCGTTTCGTTCAGCTCTGGTTTCAGAATGCAGGGCTTCTTTCACAGGCGCTCGCAGGGTCCAATAACCAATTCTTCTGCAAGCGCGTGTATCATCACTCCCTCAACTGCATCAATTCCTCTCTCTTGGTCTCACCTTCCATCATTGTGCCCTCCGGATTCCGCACCACGTCGAGAGCGCACCAGCATATCGAGACGGGCGCTGCGCTATATAATTCGACGACGCGACAAGCCGTGCGAGGCGAGGCGCAGCAGGTGAACACAGACGCGACATGGTGTTTAGGAGGCGATGTGATGCAGGAGACACGAGACGAGACAGGAGGAGGTAGTGAGGGAAGCGAGACCAAAGATGCCGTAAATTTGATATAGCACTGCGTTGGACGAATGGAGAGCCTGATGGCGGCGACGACTGTTCGTGGGTGGCCATGGAGATTGTTGGCCCTGCCATTGATCAGGCTTCAACGCCGATGCCGATGCGATGCCTTGCAGCAGACAATATTCTTGATTCCTTTCACCATTCCCTCAGCTGGCCCTGAAACATCTTCAGCACAAGCTTGCACGATACGGTATTGGCTGTCTCGCCGAAATCATCGCGCCTCACACAGACGTGGTCAATGCAAGGGGCTCGGCCAGCTTTCACATTCACGTGAAAATCTGAACTTCTATTGAACACCATTTCAGGCGAAGCTCTGCTATTGGACGTGTCGCCAAAATTCATTCACATGGTCTCAATGAGTGCCGTCGCGGTGGAGCTACGTAGGCCGTTTCAATCCAGGCCCCAGTCCAGACTGAATCTACTTGATTGATCTCGGACACAGCCAGCAGAAGGACCAGACCATGAACACCATGAGCATTTGGCGAGCTGAACACGGCTTGATGCGTATATCAATAGGCCAGTCCTGTATGCATTCCACTGAGCATACCAGCAGCAGCATAATCATCATCATCATCATCGCCTCTCGCCCTTTTCTTCCTCCTCTGTATCACTTTAAGTCAGCATGGCTTTTCTTTTGGCGTTTGCAGCGTTCAGCTTTCTTGCAACTCCGGCATTTTGTGGTTTCCCTCCTCCACCAGAAGGCATCACCACGATACAGATCCCGGATAAGCCTGGCGTGTCGATTTCCTACAAAGAGGTACGAGATGCTCAGCATTCTGAGCATGACTTCCTACTAATAGCCGTAGACCACCATCTGCGAGACAAGGGCAAAAAGCTACGCTGGCTATGTCCACATCCCAAGTTCCTACCTCGACGACACAGACGAGTCTGAGCCTTACAACATCTCCACCTTTTTCTGGTACTTCGAAGCTCGGCAGAATCCACGAAATGCCCAAACGGCAATCTACCTGGCAGGAGGCCCCGGTCAATCGTCAATGTTTGGCGCAGCACAATCTGGCGGTCCTTGTTCAGTTTTGGCAGACTCAAACACGACAGAGGACAACCCATGGTCCTGGAACAAATTCGTCAACCTCTTGTATGTCGATCAACCCGTGGGCACTGGGTTCTCCTACACTTCGCTGGTCAACAGCACCAAAGACTTGATGTATCTGGTTAACCTAGATAATCTCAACATCGTACCATTCGAGAGCTACAACGGCTCTGTGCCAGCTGAGAACACCACGTTCCTGTACGGCACATTCCCAAGTCAGGATCCAGCAAACACTCCAGGCACGTCACAAACCGCTGCGAACACATTATGGCACTTTGCTCAATTCTGGTTCACGTCATTCCCAGAGTACAAGACCGTTGACAAGCGTGTGAGCTTTTGGGGACATAGCTATGGAGGCTACTGGGTTCCATTCTCCGCGGCCCGCTTTGTTGAGCAGAATGAAGCAATTGAGGCCGGTAAGCTCAACGGCACAATCCTGCCAGTCGACACAGCCGGCTGGACGAACGGCTGCACAGATCTCCTCTACCAAGGCGAGTGGACACCAGACATGGCTTACAACAACACATATGGTCTCCAAGTCCTCCCAGACGACGTGTATGCTGCTGCCAAAGAGGCCTGGGGCGCTGAAGGCGGCGCAAGAGACCAGCTTCTCGCATGTCGAAAGCTGGGCGATCAGTACGATCCCGACTTTCTGGGTTTAAACGACACCGTAAACGCCGTTTGCGCCAACGCGACACTAACCTACGGATTATACGTACAAGCCCCATACAACGCCGTCTCGAACCTCAGCGTCTTCGACATCGCACAACTCGAGCCAAGCTCGCAACCACCATCCTACCTCGACGGCTTCTTCAACCGCGAATCGGTCCAACGCGCCCTCGGCGTCCCCCTAAACTTCACCGCAAACTCCTACGCCACCCAACTCTCCTTCGGCTACACCACCGGCGACCCGGTTCGAGCCGCCGGCCTGAAACAAATGGAGTATCTCCTCACCTCCGGCGTAAAACTCTCGATGATCTACGGCGACCGCGATTACAGATGTCCGTGGCTCGGCGCCGAGAAACTCTCTCTCGCTGCAAACTGGACAGGTAGCGAAGCATTCAGAAACGCAGGTTACGAATATATTCACACGGACGACTGCTATCCCGGCGGCGTCGTTCGACAACACGGGAATTTGTCTTTTAGTCGAGTTTTCCAAGCCGGACATGACGCTGCATTTTGGCAGCCGAAGACGGTGTTTGAGATTTTTACGAGGAGTATGTTGGGGTTTGATGTTGCGACGGGGAAGATGAGTACGTTGGGAGAGAAGAATTATAGCTCGTCTGGGCCGGAAAGTAGTTTTGGGATCAAGAACCCTTTGCCTGTCTCGGCGAAAATTGGGGATTGTAATTTGTATAATGTTGAGGGGACGTGTACTATTGAGCAGTTTTTGGCGCTGAGGGATGGGACGGCGGAGGTGGAAGAGGGGGGGTTTAGGGTGGTGAAGCCCGTAGGTGATGAGGGCACGACGGGGGCGTTGAGGAGTCATTTGTGAAGGATAGGCAATGTCTTGCCTTGTCTTGTCCACGACACCGGGGGTTTCAAGAATTGCAGTCTGTAGCTTGACAAGATCCCAATCCAACACTGACACGAGCTGACATCTGACATCTAAATTCTGACATCTTATCTCCGATGTTTCACTTTCAGCCATGCATGTGAAACAGGCACCAACGTGATGTGATATACAAGGATCTGGCAGCATCGCTCACACTATCCCTCCGCCTACCATCAAGCATAGTCTCTATCGTTCGCTTACCGAAAGACATTCTCTACCCTTATGTCCTCCCTACTACTAAAACTAAACCGCACCTCCGCTCTATTCTATTTCCCCGGCGTCTTATTCCCCTATCTCCGTTTTAGCCCCTTACTATTAAAGCGTAAGGAGTTTTTTTTATATAGTAGGTAGTAGACTCCTTCTAACCGTTCTATATTAGACGTAGTCCTAGAGATAATTCGGAGAATTCGAAGAGCTAATACTAAGATACTAGAGTAAGAGAATCGCGTAGTTTAATTTCTAGAATAGAGTAGTAGAATCTTAAATTGATTATACTACTCGTATCGATACTAAAAGACAATTAGAAATAAGCGTTATTTTTCGTATATATTACTAAAAGTTAGGTCTTTAACTAAATTTAAGATAGGATTAAGGTCGTAGGCTACCTCCTTCTAAGGCTCTTTATATATAGACTTTATCCTACCTTCTATTTTCTAACTTCTACCTTCTAACTTCCTCTATCTAACCTATATTATTATATAATTAGCGTCGATTAGTTCTCGGCTCTTCTATATATAGTCTAGTATATAGAAGAAGTCTTTATTAAAGACTCGAGGAGCCTAAAGACAAATATTATAAAGCTATAGTATTAGCCTTATATACTTATACGATAGATAGAATAGTATAATAACTATATATTCTAAGTAAAAAAAATCTTCTAAAAAATTAGGAAAAGAACTAGGTAAAAGTGTAAGTTACTCCCTTACGATTATAGTAGATTTGACCTATATCGGTAGTTAGATAAAAACTCTACTCGTTCTAGGCCTACTATAATTTACGGACCTTGCTATAGGATATCGTAGTATATATATAGTAAAGTTTAAATACTATAGAAAAGGTACTCCCTACTAGATTATTTTCGAATCTTCGATATAGTATATTATATATACCCGCTAAACTCTAAACTCTAAAGTTAAATACTCTATCCTAGGTTACTATTTTTAAGTAATATACTTAGCTAATAGGAAAAACTTTCTTTACTTTTTTTCTATATCCCTCCTCTAGCTTCTAAAAAGAGTAGTTATATATATATATATTTTATAATAATCTAGCGAAAAGGGGGCCTACCTATCTATTTATTATACTATCTCTTAAGTCGCATATATATATATATAATATATATATATATGTCGGTCGAGTAACAAGTGCCGGAATGTTTCCTAATCCTAAACCTAGTTACCGGGTCCCGATAGCCTTGTGCGTGCGCTTGCGCTCTAGAATCTCCACTCTCTAGGACACTAACTGCACTACTCTGTGCCTTCAAGGTTCTTCCGCTCCGCGATCATCACATGTCAGTGCATGCATGTGAGGCTCTTCACTTCCAGCCACAATGATCATAATCATCACAAGCCTAGCAAGCCCCGATCAACGCCTTTCCAACCTGCATACACTCATCATCAAGTCATCACATACTACATAATACATCACATCCCAAAGGAAAAAATCTTCTTCTTCAAAAGACCTATTGCAGAAAAAAACTAAATTTCTGCACAACTGTGCAGAAATTTAGTTTTTTTCTGCTTTTCCCCCCGGTGTCATCTCTCAGGGATGCGATCATATGAAGACTTGACAATTTCTGTAGTCTTATATATGCCATTCGGGGTCTTGTGCATGCCATTCGGGGTCCTGTGTATGCCATTCGGGGGCTTGTATACGCTATGCGAATTATGGGTCAGCCTCTCCTCGCTGAGGCTGCGATGGTTTTCAACGTCTTCCCAACTGGTGGCGTCGTCTTTGTCCGGGCCCGTAGTAATGGCGACGGCATACGGCCTGTCGGCGGGATTGGAATGGTCGTAGAATGGATCATCGCGAGAGCCGGCCTGGAGGGCACTCTTTCCCGTGGACATGGATCGTGAGTGGTGGTTGGCGTACGTCGTGCCGGAGAGATTGCTCATGTTCTTGATATCTGACATGCGAATGTCGTGAGCGTATTTTGGATCGTGGGCAAGGTGGCGGGAGTACGTATTGTGCGACTTATTCTTCGAGTCACCCAGGCTCCCTCCTCCAGAGTAGCCACTGAGCATTGTTTTGGTGCTCGACATGATCTTGGCGAACAGAGGTTTCAGGGACGGTAGGGACGCTGCCACGATGCCAACGCATAACTCGATATGGTTCCAGACATTGAAGGCGTTGTGCCATAGAGGGTCGGCTTCGTCGAAGAATCTTGCTTGTTTCACTGCTTTGACGATGCCAGCGGCGCAAGCAAGATAACCCAAGCTGAGGATGAGCACCAGGGTGACTTTCGTCCTTCTGTTGACCTGCAGTCTCACGATGATCGGTATTGGCAGCGCTGCGAGGAGGAAGTCGGTTGTACAGTTGATGGAGCTGTTCGTCAGACCGATGGCAGAGAATGTGTTGTTGGAGAAGCATTTCGCGGTTGCCTTCTTACTTAAATTCCACGCAGCATCAATCGGAACGCATTGCCAGATCAAGGTTCCGGAGCACGCAAGCATGAAGGCAACCAGGAAAGCTGATGGCGCCGTCAGTCATGTACGCACGATACAGCTGGAGAATGGACACATACCAATGACCGCCCACAGAAAGCTCTTCCACCTCTTTCCCGGCGGCACCATGCGCATCAAGAATAGTGCGATCGATATCTTGACCAAGATGACACCCCACATCACGACCAGTGAATGGGACCACTGCCATTTTGCGAATGCAGCGTAGTCGACTTGCGTGATACACTGGATGTGTTTGCCGACGCCGTGATGAGTCTCGCCGACAAAGCACGCGAATGTTGCAACGGCCATGAGCGTGGCCGCCAGCATGACATAGTCATCCGGGCCTAGCGACTTCAGCATCGCCGCTCTCACTACAAAGCGCATGCCCATGATGATGACAGCAAGAGTCATCAGCCCTCCTGTGGTACCGAGAATTTCGTGCGCATTGCTTTCCGCGCAGTACGCTGGGTCAGGCGGAGGACCCATCTGTCTCCGGGTAAAGCGTGACATGTTTGTGGGCGATGGTGATTCAAGTATGTTCTCGACTCGTGGTATTCGATGCCCAGCGAGGGCGATGGGCCCGTCAGTGACTTCCTTTGCGATGCGACCTCAATGGCATCGAGTGGAAAGAATATCGAGTTCCAGATGGGGGTTGGAAGAGAACTACGCTTACTTGCGCATGGCTGGGATCCGCTGAGGGCTGCACTTCAGCACATTTTCCAATTCGAGTAGACCCTGCTACTTTCAAGGGCACTTTCCCGACACTTCCTGGATCTGGACCTGGGCGAAGTATTTGTGAGGGCAGTCGACCGGTTCTGGCGTTGTCGCTGAATCCCGGAATGGGGCGAGCAATTGTGGTCGGTCGAGCACGACAGGCTTCTTTCACATGGTAGTTCCGCAGAGGTGTTGATCAAATCTGCCGACGACTCCGGCAATCTTCCATCTGATACAACTTACCCCGGGTTTTGCAAGTCGTGCACCATGAAGCTGTGCCTGAATTGTAAGCCCCCCGGTTAGCAAACCTAGTCTTACAGGACATTCGCTCGCAAACGTTAAAGCTTGTCCACGGCCGATCCAGGATGGCCAGGGGAGTAAGTCTCGCCAACCATATAACGTTATTACTGTATTATCGGTACACCGTTGGGGATCCGCATGTCATCTTGATAAGATGTTCTGGAGAGTGTGGTATGCTATCAGCCTTGACGGAGGCACGGAGAGCCGCGTTGAACACTGCACTACAAAGTAGATTGTTGAGCGCACAGTATAGAATAAAGTGCCGATATCATGGTAAATTGTAAGAAAGCCATGCAGTAGCAGTTAGTATTGAAACATATAACAACACCTGGATCTGTTCACACCTGTGTCCAATGCAGATGGCTAGATGGCACGGATAGTGCTGCCCAAGCAGGTGCCGAGTGCTCGTGACAGGGAACTTTGGGAGGGATGACTGGCGGAAGCAGGGATGATGATTCGCTCTAAACGTGTTTCCGCCAGGGACTGCCTAGCAAGGATCATCGGCCTTGTCAGGGAAAACGCCAGGTGCGAGGCTATTCGAGAATCCACTCTAGCTATTCGAGAATCTACAGACCTAGGGCCGCTCCGGTCTCGGCAAGAGTATATTATTAGTAATATATACTATAGAATATTATATAGTAACTTCTAATATCTATACTAGCTACTTAGTAGAATAATAACGTAGAAAAGAAGAATTAAGAAAATAATAGACGTAGAATTCGATACTATAGCTAATTATTGTAAATAATATAGATAAGCGGTAAACCTTTAGGATTGCTTGCTATTCGAACAAAGGACTTACTAGCTACTTATATACCCTAGCGCTAAGAATTATAAGCTATTACTAAGCCGTAAGTAAATAATCTTATAACTTCCTTCTCCTTCTCTTACTTATAAATTCAACTAGACTCGTATATTCTCGAGTATTCTAATACTCCCTCTACTTAGCTATCTAGTCGTAAACTAAATAGCTAAGTCCTAACCTTCTTAATCGTTTTTATCCCTAGGACTCTTTTTACGTTTTCTTCGAACTTCCCTTTTATTAGGGGCTTAGTAAGGAAGTCCGCGAGTTAGTCCTTTATCGGAATATACTTTATATCGACTAGCTTATCCTCGACTAGTTCCCGTACGTAATATACCGCTACGTCGATATGTTTCGTTCTAGAATAAAATTCCGGATTTCGTACTAAAGCGATAGCCGCCTTATTATCCCCGTAGATAATCGTAGGTTCTTTATAGTCGTCTTCCGTAAGGTATCCGACTTACTCGAGGAAATTTCGGATCTAAATAGCTTCTTTTGCGGCGTAGGATAGCGCTAAGTATTCGGCTTCCGTAGTACTAGTCGTTACGGACCTTTATAGTTTAGTAGACTAAGATATAGGTCCTCCGGCTAGTAGGGATATATATCCTATCGTTAACTTCCTAGTTAAGTCCGCCGCGTAATCCGAATCGGTATAGATAACCGGTAACCGAGTAACTAGAGTACTCGTATTGTTTTCGTTCTTTAGGATAGGACTATACTTTATATAGTAGTCCCGAGTGTTCCCTAGGTATCTAAGGCCGTAGATACCTCCGTCGTAGTATCTTCTAGCCGGATTTACCGTAGATTAGCTTAGTCTTTGCGTTAGAAAAGATATATCCGGCCTCGTAGCTCGTACGGTCTAATTTAGTTTTCCGATTAGTCGTTAGTATCTCCGGATATCTACTACCTCCTCGTTCTTTATTATAGGTAGTAAATTCGTATATCCGTTTGCTAGAGTCGATACTTAGAAGGTTTCGTCTAGATCTAAGCCCTCTTCTCTAAGCGTATTTTCGATATAGTGCCTTTAATCTAGTAGTATAGATCTGTCGGCCTCTCTCTCGATTCGTACGCCTAGTATAAACTTAGCGGGACCTAGATCCTTTATTTCGAACCTCTATATAAGCCCGTCCTTTAGCGGTTTAACCTCCGCTTCTGTCTTCGCTAGTATAATAAGATCGTCGACGTATAACGCAACTATTAGCGTATAGTCGCTATTAACGAAGACCGATTGATCCGCGGGTATAGCGTAGAGGTCGTATTCTTTAAAGAAGGCCGTAATAGTCTTATTCTAAACTCGTCCGTATTGTTTTAGTCCTAGTACTCCTTTTAGGAGTTTAAGTACTTTATTAGTTCTAGGGACATCTAGGCCTTCCGGGATAGCTAGGTAGACTTTCTCCGTTAGTTCTCCTAGTAGGTAGGCACTTACTACGTCTATTTAGAATATAGCAAGTCCTTTACTAGCGGCGATAGCTAGGAGAAGGCGTAGGCTTTCGAGACGTATTACCGGAGAAAACGTCTTAAAGTAATCGATTCCGTAGCGTTGCGTAAAGCCCTTTCCTACTAATCTCGCCTTAAATTTATCGATTTGTCCGTTCGGTAGTATTTTTACTTTAAATACCTATTTCGGAGTAATAACGTTTATATGCCCTTTTCTGTCCTTTAGCTTAGGATAGTCGATAATCTCGTAGGTATTATTAGCCGTTAAGGACTCGATATATTCTTTAATAGCGTCTTTCTACTATCGGGAGTAAGGGCCGGTAATAGCTTCTATATAGGTCTCGGAGGTAGGTATTTCGAAAGCCTTTTAATAGTTGACTTTTAGAGCTGCTAGCCCTATTTCGTCCCTTAGTCTCTTAGGTGCTTTAGGGACCCTCGAAGTCCTTCGTAGTCCTCCTTCGTTTATATTCGAATCCGTAGGAGTAGTAGGCCTTTTGTCGTTTTTATTTAAATCGTCTTCGTCTTATAGTTTCGAAGTATCGTCTTCGGTTTTAGAATCTCTCTCTATTTCCTTAGATTCTCCCTTATCTAGGAGATCGATATCGTTATTGTAAGAAGGGTTATATTAGCAGGTAGATAGGGTAGTAGTAAATTAGTATAGTATTCGATAGAGATCTAAGAGGAGAGGGAGGAAGGCAGGCTAGTTAGCCTAACGCTAAGCGCTAAGCCTAGCCTAAGGGATTAGGACCCTAGCTTTACTCGGTCTAGTTATATGCTAATTACGTGTAACCTCTAATATACGCTTCCCTTCTAAAGGCCGCGCCCTCGTAGCCTGTCTATATTCTAATCTTAACCTCTATTACTACTAACTTAGCAGGTCTAATAAGCCGCTTAGTCCGCGCTAAATTAAACGCTTAACTACCTAATTATATAACCGTATTAAACCTTACCTCTAATATAACACAATGTTTAACTCTAACTACGCTATCCCTATATATAATAAAGTGATATATAACTACGAGAATTGAGGACTATCGACTAATTATAATACGAGCGCGCCTTCCCTACTATAATAGGTAGGCGTACGAGGTATTATAGCACTACCTCCGTTCTAAGTAATATCGTATTAAGTTCTTTGCGTCTACTCTTAAAAGACCTAGTAATGTCCGCTTTCGAGGGTTGTTCTTATTATTACGAGGGCTATTATTTACTATCGTAGTTTCACTAGCCCTAATTAGTTAGGTTTAGCAGCCTTTACTTGTTAATCTTATCTTATCTTTCAAAAAACATAGCTCGTCTAGTTTCTATAGGTAAAGGCTATTATAAGTGCAGTAGTTAAGGTTCGCCTCGCTTAAAGGGTCGGAAAGATCGAGAAGTAACCTATTATCCGTAAGATCGACTCTAGCTAGCTTAGCTCTATAGTTTTACTCTTAGTTAGTCTATTAATCGTTTAACCTTTTTAGTCCCTAAGTCCTTCGAACGGCTTAACCCCTTTTAACCTAGTGCCTTAGCCTTAGGCTATAGTATAGGTAAGGTTATCTTCGTAGGCGTAGCGACAATAGTAAGTAAGATTAATAATAGCGGCGCTAGTCGTCTTAGTACTAACTTTACCTCGCTTCTAATCTTCTTTTTCTTTAACTAATAATACACTCTATAACACTATTACTAATATAGCCGCGCCGGCCGCGCCGTCGTTATTATTATTATTACTATCCGCGCGCTTTCCCCGCCGACCGTCTAGGCTCCGAGATCTCGATAAAATAAAAGGGGGCGCTAAGAGGAGGGTCTTATAAGGTACGCTAGTAAAGAGGTAGTTTCCTAGAGGAGCAGCGAATAGTTAACGCGTTATAGCGCGCTTATTAACACTCGGTGCACGTTTACTATAGTAGTATAGTCTTATTATCCTAGTTTGCCGGCCTCTAATTAGTTAGCTAATAGCACCCCGAGGGTAGCATTATTCCTAGGCGATATTATAGGCCCTTAGCCTTCTTCTTATTCTTTATACTAGTCTAATATTTATCTAACAACTTAGTTATATCTTTAAAAGAGGCTTTAGCTTCCTACGAGTCCTATTTAGGTAAATAGCCTTGCTATCTTAGGAGGTATTCCTTCTTGCCTTACCTAGTCTAGTGCTTTAGAATACGTTCTATAGACTACAGCTCTTCGCTATTAGCTAGTATATCCTCGGATTTAGTAGGTGCTTTATCCCCTTCGCGTAGGTAGTATAGCTTAA